ATCTTTCATAAATTTCATAATATAATAACCACAATCATTGTTATTGGTTGGAAAGGGCACTAAAAAAATTCACCAAAATATAATGTAAATTTATGAACAAAATTGAAGATGGTCTAATAATTTAATAATTTATACCATAATTTTGTCCATTGATAACTTTTAGAGAATTCTTTACTTCTGAAAAAGGAGAGCTCTTTGTGACTTTGAAAATTGTTCAATGCCCTAATAAAATAAAAAAAAATTAATCAATACCAATTGATGCAAATGTATATAAAAATGTGTAAAATAATTCTTATAAGTATAAATACTTACTTATTAAATAACCTTAACATATTAAGCTGATCTGTTGGCATACCTTTAGATAGAGGATCTAAATAATAAATTAAAGGCAAAGGAACAGCCACAAGATTGATAAGAATCAAAATTCAATGTTTTGTAAAAATTTTAAACTTTTGTTATGTCTTAATAAACTTGAGGTATCATACACAAAAGAAAAAAATAATCAATAAACTACTTACCCTGCATTATAAGGAATTAAAAATAACATATGTTTTTCAACTTCTGCCTTCTCTATGAACATTTCTTTTATAAGATTTACTTGCTCAGATGGACCCAGTGTCGATCCATCACTAATATCATAAGGACTAATAAATGCAAATCTATTCATTTTCTTCGTGTCTTTCAGAAAAGAAATGTACAAATACTTTAATAAATACCAAAAACTTGTATTAAAACCAATCATAACAAATGATAAAAAATCAATATCAAAGGATATTGTAAACAAGTACCTTATTCAAGTATTGATAGCAGAAGCACTTGCCCATTCTCGATTAAGTATTTCCATGATGGTATTTCTATCAAGATTTTTCCAACTATCTTTATAATAGATTTCTTCCTCAAATCTTATTTCAATTGTTTGGCCATTAGTAGTAAGCTTTGGCAAAAGAGACCGAAGAGCTTCACGACAATTATTAGCCTTTTTCATTTTTGAAGCTCTATGAGATATACTTTTTTGCTTATGCATGGTATTTGATTCCTTAGAGATATTACCATGCAATTTAATTATTTTCTTATTCTTTGATTTTGATTGAGTCTGTAAAAATAATATAAAAAAACTAAGTCACCAAATTATAAGTACATGTAGCAAATTATAAAGAAGTTTGAATTATATAATTACCTTGTCAAATGACTCAATGAGATATAGAGGCCACGCAACAAAAGTCCCCTCTGCATCTTTAACCAATACAATATCTTCATTAAGAGGTATTGGTAACTTGGCATCATCATTAGTGCAAATGTCTACAAAAAATCATAATGTGCCAGGGTGTAATGGTATTGCATGTAAAGTGTCTTCAGCGAAATTGTAAACAGTACCCACGGCAACTGTATTTTTAAAGGGAATTTCTGTGTACAATTTGCATTTTGATTCCCCCTAGGAAATTTTTTTAATAATTTATATTATAAAATTAAGAATATAATTAAAGTAGTGCAGAAAAAGTATTACTAGAGGAAGAGTTGGGTGGTTTGACACGGAAGTATAGCTATTCCTCAAACTAGGGCTTTCAACTATTGGAATTCTCACCAGGCCTTGTTGCATCATATCATTCATTTGCTAGAATAACTTTTTATTTTATTCTTCTAATTGACGATATTGTTCTTCATAATGCTGCTCGCGCATATTTTGTTTCAACATTCATTGTCGAAATGCATTCATTTCCTCTTTCAACTTAGCAATTACACTCTTGTTTGAGCGTCTCCTGCCACCGAAATAAATGGTTTGGGTAACACCAAAACCAACCCCTCTGACACGACTCGAGACTTCTAGAACATTTAATGCCTTGCTAAGGATATCTTCACAACCAAATTGTTGTGCTTCTTCTGATCTTGTGACAAATTTGTTATTATATAAAATATGAGATTTAGTTTTTGACATAAAATATTAGATTTAAACAAGAATTAAATATTAATACTTACACAAGTCTGCCAAACTTGCCTCATATTGTCATCTTCGGCTCACACTTCATGTCTTGAAAGTTGTTCACAATTTAATTGTCTTTTTTTATCTACATATTAAAATAATTAACTAAATTCATAAATAACTCAAACATATAAAATAGATGCATGTAATAAGTATTAAATATAAGATATGTATTTTATCTTGTTCAATGAATGTGTATCCTTTTTGACCCCTTTTGAAGCAATATTTTTGGCTTTTCGCTAATTGACGGTATCGCTCGCTTTTCAACTGTTGAAATGAAAATTGAATTCATGTTAATTTTATATAAAAAACTATATTTAATTGGTCAAATCTATCATTAATTACCTTAAATTTTTCTGTTGTGTGCACTAGAACAAATTCATCCCAATCTTCTTGAAGTATGATCCCATCATAAAGTTTCAGTGGATGTTTAATGATATTTTGATTATTATCTATTAAATACCACTTGCAAATATCTGCATGAAATTTTCTAAGAATCATCCCAGCTTTTTTGAGGACATATGTTCCATGAATCTTATCAAGCTCAAAACAAGACTGAAAGAAAGATTAAAATAATTTAGATCACTAAATGTGCAAGAAAAAATAAAAAAAAGATAAAATTTAAATGATTTCTTTTTTTTTTTACCTCAACTTGTTCCTATATGAATCTCTTTTACTCATTCAAAACTTTTCTCCAATCAGTAAATGTAATAGGCACATGGTCTTGAGCTATAGCTCCAATATAATTGACTAATTTTTTTCCATCTGGTTTTATTGGTTGACCCTTAATATTCCAACCAACTTGTAGCTTTATTCCCATGCTTCTATTTCTGATCAACTTGGCCATCACAGTTCTACCACGATGAACATCTCAAAACATTTTCTTCTTTATTGCTTGAGGATCTTCATTATTTGAACTGGTATGAGGTTCGTTGTCACTATAAGAACTCATTGTCCTTCAAGTTAAAAATGATGCACTAACATATGCAAGAGTAGAACAAACAAGGTAAATTAATTTTGAAAGAAGTAAAAATGAAAAATAAAATTACTTTTTCATTTTTTCTTTATTTGATTTAGACTTGACAGGTCAACTCATATCCCATCTCTATGATCATCTCTCATGCACAAGTGCTCATCTTCAATTAAATCATTGTCAAAAGATTGACTTGTCCTGTAGAAAGGATCATCTTAATATTCATATCTTCATTACCATGAGCTTCATCATCATCGTCATGTTTTTTATTTGACAAAAGTACAATAGACCAATTCTTTTTTGCAAGATTAGGAATGAAAAACACTTGTTGAGCTTGTGAAACTAAAATAAAAGGGTCATTTCTATACCCAACCTTAGAGAGATCCACTTGAATAAATCTAAAATCATCAATTTGGAATCCACTATAATTGTTAACCCACCTATATCCAAAGATTGGCACCTTAAACATAAAGTAATCTAACTCCTATATACGTTTAATGACACCAAAGTATAACATTTTTGCATAAACAGGGTTGGTGTTTTTTGAACTGGATATATGTAGACCACCAGCAATAAGCATTACTCTGCTATTCTGCATCGTGCTTTGATCATCTTGTTCTTTGATATAGAAAGTGTAACCATTGATTATACAACCAGTGTAAGATAAAACTTGTAAACTCGGCCCCTTGACCAGCCATCTTAATTATTCATAAACATTATTAGGATCTCTCTCCAACTCCTCAAGAATGCGACTTCTAAACCACTTTATAAATCATCGATTGTGTTTTTTTGTTACAAAATTCTCATTTCTAACACCAAACATGTCTCATAGAATATCCTTATGTTCTTCCACAAATGGCTTAACTTCTTCAGTGTTGTGCAAAACATATAGATGAGCTTGTTCACATTCGACTGCTCAGATGCTAACAACTTTATTTTTCAATTATTCCTTTCCCTAATCTTCGTCCATCGTGATGAGACTTTGGAATCCCTATAGCATCAATGTTGGATAGATAATCTGTATACAATTCAACTGCTTCTTCGACTATGTACCATTCAGCGATACACCCCTCGGGTCGATATCTATTCTTTACATAGCCTTTTAATATTTTCATGACATGCTCAATTGATCTTAAATATGATGGCCCGTACATTTGAACTTCTTTGATTAAGTGGACAGTCAAATGAATCATGATATCAATGAATGAAGGCGGGAAATACATTTCAAGTTCACATAGGGTCAAAATAATTTGCCTTTGTAAGGCTGAAAATTTTGCAGGATCAACCACTTTATTACAAATCATCTTGAAAATAAGCATAAATTAGTGATGGTGCATTGCACTTTTTTTGGCAAAATAGATCTAATGCCAATTGGTAAGAAATTTTAGAGAAACACATGAGAATTATGAGATTTAAGCCCCTATAACTTCAAGTCTTTTATTGACATAAGATTCTTTACATTTGAAGAATATCCCTCTGGCATTTTAACAATATGGAGGAATTCAAGAAAACATTTTTTCTCTTTGTTTGACAGAGTGTAAGCTGTTGGTGGCAGATATGTGCGATTTCCTTTCTCCACTAGAGCCAACTCCTCCCTTATTCCCATGAAACCAAATCCAACCTTAATTTGACACCATCCTTACTTTTTCCTGGAAACTGGAACAATGTCCCAATGACACTGTCACACACATTTTTTTCAATATGCATCACATCAAGAAAGTGTCTTATATGTAAAGATTTCCAATATGGTAGATCAAAAAAGATTGATTTTTTCTTCCACCTACTTGTTGCAACATTTCTCATAAGGGTTTACCAAAATGATTGTCAAGATCTTTCACCTTTTCAAACACATTCATTGTAACATCCCAATTTAAATTTTAATAGTTAATTTGGGTTAATAAAATTTTGAAAAGTATTATTAAATTATTATTATAAAAAAAGGTATGAAAAAAAATAATAATAAAAAAAATAAAAAAATAATAATAAAAATAAAAAATAAAATATTATTAAATTATTATTATTATAATAATAAAAAGAAAGAAAGGAAAAGAAAGGAAGAAGAAGAAGAAAGCGAATTCGTTTCGTCCGCCGCCTCAACAGTAACAATAATAAAATAATAATAAAAAGAAAAGAAGAAGAAGAGAGAGAAAATAATTTTAAAAAAAATGTGGGACCCACTGAATTTTTATAAAAACTCACCTTCCTTCATTTCCTCATTCATTCCTGCGCGCGAGCTGAGGCGGAGAGAAGCGAGTTGCCGGTGCGAAATATCTAAATTTTTAAGGTAAGAGTTTTTAATAGAATATTTAGGGTGTGATTTTAAGCTTTTCAAGACTAAGTAAGTGTTCTAAAATTTTTTCTTAGTCATCCTTTTCTTTAGTTTCTGAGTTTGTAGTGGTAGAAAATTTAAGATCTGAAAGAGGGATGAATTTATGTTGAATAAATATGGTTTTTGAGGTTGTCAGTAGTATAATAAATGTTATAGAGTATAAATTTGTTGATCTTTGAATGGCTTTGAATTTATGCTTAAATCAAATTCTAAACTAGATCTGAAAATATATGTTGATTTATTGAGGTTTAGATGATTATTTGGGATGAGAAATGAATTATTATGGTTATAGGATTATGATTCTAAGCTAGAGACTTAATTTTTAATTTTTGAGTATTTTAGGTACGAATTTATGAAATAAAAAGAAAATTTTGATAATAGAAATTAGTTTAGAAGTTGATTTTTAGATTATTAATGTTTATTGATAATTAAAAGAGGAGTTAAAAATTATACTTAATAGTATTAACTATAGATTTGTATTAAGATTGAGATTAGGAATTATGTTATATTTTTAATTCTATTATTAGAATTATTTTATTAGTTTCAAAAATTGAAACTAATATTTATAAATAATATGTTATTTGTAGATTGTATTACTGGTGAAGATTGTGGTGAGAGAGAAATTTTAAGGAATAATTTATTGAAAAAGCCACAAGGTAACCATGCTTTTAATTTATGATTAGTGTTACTTCTTGTTAATTGGGTGATTATTGAGAAAATTATGAATTTTGTAATATTGTATAATTGTGCAATATTATTATGAATTTGTTTAATTATTGTGGGAGGTGTTGGGAGACTTGCTATTATTGTTGTATTTATGTGCCACGTGGTATGCCCCTATTGGAGCTCAATAGGTGGCTTGTAAGGGCTCGGGCTAATCTACCTTTGGCCGGGTAATTTAGCACCGAGTGAGGGCTACGGCTCGAGGTTAATGGAGGGATATAAGGATGGTTGTTTGTGTGTATTATAATATTTCTTATATTTGTTGGAATTATATTATTTTTAATTCTCACTTAGTAAGCACACACTTAACTGTTTGTATACACTATCATAAATTGGCTTTGGGTTACTGGGACTTTTGAGTCTCATTATGTGGTTAACAATTTTCAGGAGAAGAGCCACGAGTGACACGTGGAGGAGTCCCAGAGGCTTAGTGGTATAGATCCACTGTCTCTTTTGGGTATTTAATTTATGATTTATAATGTGTTATATTGCCAATATTAGGGCTTTTTGTTTATTGTCAATTATATGAATATATAAATGTAATCATGCCTTTCAAACTATTTCTATTTTTGGTACAATTTGGATGACTGTAATTTTAATATTTGGTTTACTTTGGATTGGTTAAAATGGCATGATTATAAGGCCAAATAACTGGCTTGTGTTGAAAATTGACTAAATTGCTTATTTTACTTGTTGGGAGTATAAGGATGGACAAATGTGATTTAGTTTACTTGTTGGGAGTATAAGGATGGACAAATGTGATTTAGCCTAATGGCATGTGGGAGGTAAAAATTTATCTGAAATGTTATAGTGTGTGAGTTGAAGCCAATTATAAAATATTTTATATCGAAATTATTGATATAAAAATGTGTTGGGTGGCTGTAACCCAACTATGGTTGAGTTAAATTATTTAAAAAAAAAAAATTTGGTGTGTTACAAATTTTGGTATCAGAGCTTCATGGTTCCAATTCTTATAAATTATGAAATTGTTATACATTAACCTAGTTTATTGGCAATATACATTATTAAATCATAATGCTTCTCCATTATTTTTCTTGTCTTGAGATTAGTGTTAACTTAATTATGTGACTTCCATCCTTTAGGAGGGGAGAGATGGTGTCTAAAACTAGGAGAGGTGGCGAAATTGTCGGTGATTCTATAGAGCCAATAGGAAATGACATACCTTCACTGCCACAACCGGAGCCCACACAGCAACAAATGGGCAGGGCGAGCCCATACAGTCACAACTAAGGCAGGATGAGCCAACCATGAGGCAAATGATGGATCTACTATATAATCTTAGTGACCGCATGAAGAGACAAGAAGAAGAGTTGGCCGCTTTAAGACAATATAAGGAGAATGACAACCGAGAGGGAAATGGCCAACAAGAAGGAAGCCATACCAAGGTATTCAATGCGAGCCAATCTGCTGATGAAGGCTTACCTCCTTATTCTCACCATGAGACTAGTCCGAAGAATGTGAGTCTCCACTCTGAGCAACAGACATCCACGATCACAAAGATCTGGAGTACTTTTCGTAAGTTTAATCCTCCTACTTTCGATGGAAATCTTAAGCCGGCGGTGGTTGAAGAATGGATAGATCAATTGGAGAGTATTTTTCGTATGGTTGTGTGCACTTCTAATCAAAAGGTGCAGCTGGCAATATTCTTACTACAGAAGAGTGCTAAGAAATGGTGGGAAACATCAGGACCGAAGGATGATTCCTCTCTTACTTGGGAAGATTTTAAAGCCATATTGTTCGAGAATTATTTTCCTACTGCACTGAGAGCAGAAAAGGAGGCTGAGTTTCATGCATTTCGTCAGGGTGATCTAGATGAGGATGAATTTATTGAACAATTCTCAGAATTATCTAAATACTCTACTTACCTCCAGAAACATGAAGACACGGAGTGGATGGCTGAACGATTACTAGAGAAGGCGAGGCCTGATCTAAGGGAACAGTTAGCCCCTTTTGAGATCAAGACATTCAGTGAGATGTGCAATAAGCTTCGAATAGTTTCTCGGAGGAAGAGAGAGGCTAGATTAGAAGCTGATAGAGAGAGGAGGAAAGAACCTCATGGGAAGCCCCCTATCCACACCAGACCCATTGGTGGAGTAGAGAAGAGGAGCAGTCAAATCTTTGGAGGCTTTAGAAATCAGAAGAAGAAGGGCTACTATCATAAGGGCCAGAGCTACAGAGGGAATCAGAGTGGAAGTCAAGGGTCCTATAGGAGCCCAGCTACCTTTAATCCTACTCTGGTGCTGCTAGTAATCAAGCATGCAGTAAGTGTGGGAAGTTTCATTCTGGTGATTGTTGGGTTTGTTACATCTGTCAGAAGCCTGGTCATATTGCTCGATTCTGCTATCAAAACCAAAATAGGGGTAATGATCAGAGACCTACAGTACCAGCACGAGTGTATGCCCTCTCTGGGCCAGAGGCTACTAACAACCCTAATGCTATCCGAGGTATAATCCGAATCCTTGATAATGATGTTTGTGCTTTGTTTGATTCGGGTGCTACACACTCTTTTGTGTCTGATGAATGTATGAAAAGATGTAAATTGCCTGTGTGTACCTTACCTTTTGATGTGAAGATTTCTACTCCTGCTGGTTTGACTGTAAGGACTGCTAAGGCATGTCTAAATGTAGAGGTTGAGTATGAGGGTCGAAAGACCACCATAGACCTCATTTGTTTGTCTTTGTCTGGGATTGATGTTATTGTGGGGATGGATTGGTTGTCTGCAAATGGAGCTGTACTTAATTGTCAGAAAAAGAGTGTGTCACTCTCAGTCTTACTGTAACCCCTGTAGAGTCCCAAAGTCCTATGTTGTTGTCTGCAGCTCAAGTAGAACAGTGTATAAGAAAGGGCTGTCAAGCTTTTATGATTTTCTTCTCAATCAAGGCAGAGATTGAAGAAGGTGTAGATCAGATTCCAGTAGTGAGAGAATTCCCTGACGTCTTTCCTACTGAAGTGATCGGTTTGCCTCCAGAACGAGAGGTTGAGTTCTCATTGAACTCGTACCTGGTACGGGGCCTATTTCTAAGGCACCCTATAGGATGTCTCCATCGGAGTTAGCTGAGTTGAAGAGACAAATTGAAGAGTTGTTAGAGAAGGGGTTTATCAGACCGAGTGTATCACCATGGGGGTCACCGGTACTGTTTGTGAAAAAGAAAGATGGAAGCCTTAGATTGTGTATTGATTATAGACAATTGAATAAGGTAACCATCAAGAACAAGTACCCCTTACCTCGAATTGATGATTTGTTAGACCAATTAGTCAATTCAGCGGTGTTTTCTAAGATTGATCTAAGATCAGGGTATCATCAATTGAGGGTTAGAGCAGAGGATATCCCTAAAACTGCTTTTAGAACTAGATATGGGCACTATGAGTTCCTAGTGATGCCGTTTGGGTTAACAAATGCCCCAGCTGTCTTCATGGATTATATGAATCGAATCTTCAGGCCTTATCTCGATGAATTTGTTGTAGTCTTTATTGATGACATACTTATTTATTCTCGAGATGAGGTGGACCATGCTAGACATCTTAAAATTGTTTTGGAGATATTAAGAGAGCACAAGCTCTATGCCAAGTTGAGCAAATGTGATTTTTGGCTTAAAGAAGTTAAATTCTTAGGCCATGTTGTTTCAGAAGAAGGGGTAGCAGTGGACCCTAGTAAGATAGATGCAGTGATGAAATGGGAGCAACCTCGAAGTGTGACAGAGATTAGGAGTTTCTTGGGTCTTGCAGGCTACTATCGTCGTTTCATTAAGGGTTTTTCACAAATTGCAATGCCCTTGACTAAGTTGACCAGGAAAGATGCTCCATTTATTTGGACGAACGAGTGTGAAATTGCATTCCAGGAGCTGAAAAAGAGGTTGACCACCACACCGGTGCTCACCTTACCTGTTCCAACTGCTCCTTATACCTTGTATACTGATGCTTCTAAGAAAGGTTTAGGTTGTGTATTGATGCAGGAGGATCGAGTAGTGGCTTATGCCTCTCGACAGTTGAGACCTCATGAGGAAAATTACCCTACTCATGACTTGGAGCTTGCTGCTGTGGTATTTGCCTTGAAGATTTGGAGGCACTATCTTTATGGTTCTTCTTTTGAAGTCTTCAGTGATCATAAAAGTTTAAAATATTTGTTTGATCAAAAGGAGCTCAACATGAGACAGCGCAGATGGATTGAGTTTTTGAAGGATTATGACTTTGAGTTGAAGTATCATCCAGGGAAAGCTAACGTAGTCGCCGACGCTCTGAGCAGGAAGCTTGTACATACTGCTCACATGATGGTCAGAGAACATGAATTATGGAGTAGTTTTCATGCAGTAAATGTAGAAGTAGTCGAAAATCGTTTGGCTGCTCTACATATTACTGAATTTGAGAATAATTTTTGGGAAGAAATCAGAATTTCGCAGCAGAAGGACGATTATTTGAATAAGATTAGGGTAGAGATTGGGGCTGGAAAGGCTGAACATTTTGATGTGACCGATGATGATGTCGTAAGATATAAAGGTAGAGTGTGTGTGCCTAATGATACTCGATTGAAAAATATCTTACTTGAGGAGGCTCATCAGAGTAAATATACCATTCACCCAGGAGCAACTAAGATGTATCATGACTTAAGACGTGGTTGGTGGTGGCCAAGGATGAAGAGAGATGTAACTGAACATGTAACTCGTTGTTTGACTTGCCAGAAAGTCAAAATTGAGCATCAGAAACCAGCCGGGATGCTACAGTCTCTTGATATTCCAGAGTGGAAATGGGACAGCATTTCTATGGACTTCATTACAGGATTGCCTAGAACATCTTCTGGTCATGACACTATATGGGTAATCGTAGATCGACTCACCAAATCAGCTCATTTTCTTGCTACTAATATCAAGTATTCTCTCGAAAAATTAACTGAAATCTACATAAGAGAAGTGGTGAGATTGCATGGAGTGCCGACAAATATTGTATCTGATCGTGATCCGAGATTCACATCAAACTTTTGGAAGTCATTACAGGAAGCCATGGGTACTCGTCTGAGTTTTAGCACCGCTTACCACCCCCAGACCGATGGGCAAACGGAACGAACCATACAAACTCTTGAAGACATGTTAAGAGCGTGTGCCATTGAGCTTAGAGGTAATTGGGATAGTCACTTACCATTAGCTGAATTTGCCTACAATAATAGTTTTCATTCTAGCATTCAGATGGCACCTTATGAGGCATTGTATGGAAGAAAATGTAGATCGCCACTGTGTTGGACAGAATTAAGTGAGAGAACTGTTTTGGGGCCAGACATTGTTGATGAGACTACCCAAAAGATTGCTTTAATCAAGCAAAAATTACTCACAGCTCAAAGTAGACAAAAGAGTTATGCGGATAAGAGGAGAAGACCGCTTGAGTTTGAAGTAGGTGACCATGTATTTTTGAAAATCTCTCCAGTAACTGGTGTTGGAAGAGCTATTAAGGCTAAGAAGTTGACACCAAGGTTTATGGGGCCTTTTGAGATCTTAAAACGAGTTGGACCAGTAGCGTACCAAGTAGCATTACCACCCCAAATTGCTGGAATACACAACGTATTCCATGTGTCACAACTGAAAAAGTATCAACCAGATCCTTCCCATATAATTGAACCCGAGGAAATTGAACTCAGGGAGAATTTGACATTCAAAGCTGAACCAGAAAGGATTGTGGATTACAAGGACAAGCAATTAAGAAACAAGACCATTAGATTGGTTAAAGTAATTTGGAAGGGCACGACTCCAGGTGATGCTACGTGGGAGACCGAGGACAGTATGCGACGTGATTATCCTCGTCTTTTTGATTAAGTGAGTAGTTAATAGTTATTAATTTTAAATTTTGAGGACAAAATTTCTAAAAGGAGGGGAGAATTGTAACATCCCAATTTAAATTTTAATAGTTAATTTGGGTTAATAAAAATTTTGAAAAGTATTATTAAATTATTATTATAAAAAAAGGTATGAAAAAAAAAAATAATAATAAAAAAAAAAAAAAAAAAAAAATAATAATAATAAATAAAAAATAAAATATTATTAAATTATATTATTATAATAATAAAAAGAAAGAAAGGAAAAGAAAGGAAGAAGAAGAAGAAAGCGAATTCGTTTCGTCCGCCGCCTCAACAGTAACAATAATAAAATAATAATAAAAGAAAAGAAGAAGAAGAGAGAGAAAATAATTTTAAAAAAAATGTGGGACCCACTGAATTTTTATAAAAACTCACCTTCCTTCATTTCCTCATTCATTCCTGCGCGCGAGCTGAGGCGGAGAGAAGCGAGTTGCCGGTGCGAAATATCTAAATTTTTAAGGTAAGAGTTTTTAATAGGATATTTAGGGTGTGATTTTAAGCTTTTCAAGACTAAGTAAGTGTTCTAAAATTTTTTCTTAGTCATCCTTCTTCTTTAGTTTCTGAGTTTGTAGTGGTAGAAAATTTAAGATCTGAAAGAGGGATGAATTTATGTTGAATAAATATGGTTTTTGAGGTTGTCAGTAGTATAATAAATGTTATAGAGTATAAATTTGTTAATGATCTTTGAATTTGTGGCTTATGGATCAAATTCTAAACTAGATCTGAAAATATATGTTGATTTATTGAGGTTTAGATGATTATTTGGGATGAGAAATGAATTATTATGGTTATAGGATTATGATTCTAAGCTAGAGACTTAATTTTTAATTTTTGAGTATTTTAGGTACGAATTTATGAAATAAAAAGAAAATTTTGATAATAGAAATTAGTTTAGAAGTTGATTTTTAGATTATTAATGTTTATTGATAATTAAAAGAGGAGTTAAAAATTATACTTAATAGTATTAACTATAGATTTGTATTAAGATTGAGATTAGGAATTATGTTATATTTTTAATTCTATTATTAGAATTATTTTATTAGTTTCAAAAATTGAAACTAATATTTATAAATAATATGTTATTTGTAGATTGTATTACTGGTGAAGATTGTGGTGAGAGAGAAATTTTAAGGAATAATTTATTGAAAAAGCCACAAGGTAACCATGCTTTTAATTTGTGATTAGTGTTACTTCTTGTTAATTGGGTGATTATTGAGAAAATTATGAATTTTGTAATATTGTATAATTGTGCAATATTATTATGAATTTGTTTAATTATTGTGGGAGGTGTTGGGAGACTTGCTATTATTTGTATTTATGTGCCACGTGGTACGCCCCTATTGGAGCTCAATAGGTGGCTTGTAAGGGCTC